CGCATATAAATTGATTAAATATTATTTTAAAAGATTACGTGGATTAAATCAAGCACAAAATATTTCTGAACCATATACATCCAGATGGTAAGCTTTTTTTTTTAAATTAAACCTGACCAGCTGGACGTGCTGCATTTTTAATGAAACCAAATTTGTGGGATACAATACAGTTTAAGAAATACTGATTTTTTGTTCATTTTTGCATCTTTAATCACCTCATTGCTTTTAATTGTCCAATTCTGCAAAAGTAGAGGTCTGAAAACTTATCTGTGCCTTTATTCAAATTCTTGTCCACAGTAACATGACCTGCAAACTCACACACATATTCAGTAAAATATGTTTAAAATGCAACAACCTCAGTGTAGATGACTTACTAAATGAACATATCATAGCTCATGCATATTATACTTTCCAACAAAGCCCTTTTGCCAATAAACGGAACACTACATCCTGACTGAACAAACTTTTACAACAAAATCATTTCTGCGGATCTGGCCAGCCCCTTACGAGCTATTTCCAAAATCTTGGCTTGAATGGTTGGTGTGAGATGAGTCCACAGATTGGTCTTGACTAAGCCGAGATTCACTGGCCATCTGTAGTTCACGAGCCAATCCCATTACCTGCAGTCGGGTGAAATACTCATGGCGCTTTGACGTCAGCATTGAACGTCTCAGTCAGGAATTTGTTGTAGTTGATCTTGCCGTCCATCTTCTCATCAAATTCTGACATGACGTGATAGACCTCATCCTCATCAAGCACCATGTTGCACAATCTCAGGACGTTGCGGAACTCCGGCAGGGACAAGTAGCCTGTGTGGCCTAGATCCATCTTCTTGAAGGCACGGCGAAGGGTTCTCCAGTCGCCCACCAACTATAAGATGGAAAACATGACAAACTTTCACGAATAAAGATGGAGATTTGGAAGTGAAAAACTCTGCAGAACTCTTTGAAAAACTCTTGGCTGGTGCAGATCTAGGACTTTACTGATTTGATGATGATTTCATTCACCCTTGGCTTAAAAACCATTAACTTTGACAAGATTAAATGGACAGGATATCCAACGTAAAGGTGTGAGGTTAATTAATCAATCAAGATGCCACCCGTTTGTACTCATTTAGCTGACAAATGGTCAGGTTCCTACTATACCATTCTCTAAAGCATGAACGTGATGTGCATGTCCTTTCATCACTCTTGAGTATAGGTCACATGTATGGAGCAATTCAAAGCTCCTGCTGAGTACTCACCCTCTGTCTAAGCCGAGCAGTGATGCCGCTTAGCCCTTTGACTGGCTCGTTGACGATGGGTGCGATGGGTACCTCAGCCTGGGGGTGCGTCAGCAATGACAGCATGTTATTGCCGTAGCGATGGGTCTGCTTCCGCAAGGCAAACGGTTTCAGGAATTCAACATAGGACACCCTACGCAATGAAAAAGGAATGTGTATGCAAAGTTATTCAAACAAACAGGTCTAAGGGGCAAAAAGGTAAAACAGACGAGCTTGTAAAAATCATTAAACCACTTCAAACAAGAGGACAGGCAACCTTCAAAGATTGTCTGCCATGTCCATAGCAACGGACCATGTATGGTATCCTCTGTCTGCTATTGCATATGGACTGTCATCTTAGCAACCATTGAAAGTGTCCAAAAGGCAAAGTTCGAGCACAAACTATAGCACACAAACTGTGTAAAATGACTCTCACCTGCCATCTTGTTTGATCTCAAATTTACTGCACAGGGCATCAAGCTCATACGGACTGAGATGTACACAGAGTTCTTGTAGAACATCTCGGAATTCCTCCTTGCTGATGAAGCCGGTACCATAAACGTCCAGGCCCAAGAATTCCTTCCTAAGATCGTCCCACATGTAATCAACCTACAGAGAAAATTTCACCAAAAAATGAAGAATTTAACCTGATTTTACAACTATTTCTGATGAAGTGAATTTAATTGTTTCCATTTGTAAAATTTCTGTACTTTTTTAACATTTTCATTTTGCAGACTTGTTTTCATGTCAACTTGTCAGGAATTTTTTGACTGATCCATGATCGTTTCCATGTTGAAACTTATTTCATAATATTCAGACCGTAAACCATCTTTGCATAAAAGAACTTGCCAAAAACTCAGCTCATGTTTATTCATTATTCTCACCTTTGACCTGAGGTTGTCCTCAAGCATATCGGCGGCACAGTTAAGTTTCCGGGACCTGATGAGGAAATCAGAGTCCCCTCTCTTGGGCGGGGAGATCTTGGCATTGGGGAAGGCGGCCGATTTCATGGAGTAGCCGAAATGGCGGACAAATTCCAGGAAGCTGTAAGTCCGGTTCTGGGAGGTGATGAAGGTGTCCCAAAGACGACGGATCTCTCCCCTCGTTATCTCTGGCTTCATGTTCAGTCTTTAAAATGGAGAACAACATGATAGGAACATGAATAAGCGAGCTGATCAGCCCAAAAATAATTGTCAATTCTTGAGTGTTTATGAACAAAGAGACTGCACTTTTACTGACTAGGTTTGACTAAGTGGAAAAAAATTATGGCAGACGTATGAAAGTTACTCATTTGTCCCACAAATGTTACCGTCAAGAAGTTATTCAGGGTACTGGCAATCAAACAGATATTTAAAACTGAATAAATTTGCTTTGTTTTTCACCTGAACTGTGAATGATCCAAACGATAGAATTGCAAAGTATTTATAAAAGGCAAATATAATCCGTCACTGAATGAAAGCGCATAATATAAAACAACTCATTCAAGCACTGCCAATTTTGAGCCCAATTGTATACATTAACAGCTAAACTTGCAATAATGGTCAGATACTAATTTGACCGCCAGCCCTGGATTAAATACAGACATGATTTCATTCCTAAGCAAACTGAACTAGGGTTTTTTCCACTTACTTCTTAAACATTCTAAACATCATTTCTTGGGTCATGTGTTTTGTGTTCTGCTCATCTAGCTCACGGAAGACTTCCTCGACCTCTGTGAAGCGATCTCGTAAAAGAGCTTTGACGGCGGCCGAAATCTGCAGAGAGCAATCCAAACAACAAGTCCACGTCAACCATATTTTTTTTCTTGAACTCCTCCAAATATTGGAGAATTTGAACTTGAATTTGTCCAATCACGATCTATTCTATAACCATCTTATTAACCAGCTAACCGTCGTTCAGGAAACCAAGAAACTTGCAACCTCTTTACAAGTACTTATCAAGGAACACATCAGCACTGTCTACCGAAAAGTTCAAAGCATGCTCCAGACAGACTCACCTCTTTCAGGGGCCTGCCCTTCTTGAACTCCTCAAAGTCCATCGGTTCCTCATAGCTGTCCCGTAGTCCTGTGGGTCCTTGGTCCATTGCCATGTCCTCCGGACTGGATGACCTGTTGTAGACAGATTTGGTATCCAGCAGACTTGGTGCCACTCCACCCCTACAAGGGAACAAGATAAAAACAATTGACTACGATCTTGATTTATGGCCAGTCTTAATTGTTTTATTTTTTCTGAATTGTGTTCCAAGTTACTGAGCCATGTCCTCATTAGCTCAGGGCTCTCACCTTGTGTCAAAGTCGGCCATGAAGTCTACATACTTCACGTTACCCTCGTCATCCAGTGGCAGCCTATCCACAAGTGCTCCAAACTCCTCGTCAGTCATGTCGATGTTGTACCGGCTCTGAATGGCGGCACGGAATTCCTGTTGGCTGATCACGTTGGTCCGCAGCTTGTCAATTTTGCTGCAGAATGAACAGAATGACTCGTGATAAATGAAGCAAATAAATGAAAATCTGACACACAAAATGCACACTTGGAAAGACATTACTCTGTCTCACAGACACAACAGTGTCCTCAAAAGGACATATCATGTCCTCAGATGTTAAAATACACATTGTCTTGTGACATTTTAGGGGCTTTCAAAACATCCTGTCGCATTTTTCCTGATGGTCTCCTATAAGCACCATATAAATAGCGCACAATATTCCCATTGAGTCCACAAAGTCCAAATTGCAACACCAATCACTTCTAACCTAGGTCCAGGTGCATTCTTGTCTGTTCTTTTGTGCACATTAAAAACTAGTCACACGCCTCTACGCTATTCCCATGTATGCATGAGTGATAATTCATCCATGGCTCTAGCATGTTGGAAATTCCTGCGAGGACTCGAGACAGGACGGGAAGCATGACAAATGACAAATGCTTCTGCAAACTTACTGAAACATGCCAAGAAGAGCCAGGAAATCAGTCTGGAAGAGACCCATCATCCTCGCTTCTGCTGCTGTCACGTTGGTCGCTGCACCCGGACTGTCCGCTCGCACACTCCGGTTGTACCTGAAGAGATCAACATGCAATTCCATACAATGAACATCTGTCTGATACTCGGTCAGCAAGCTCGCAAGTTCACTTTGAATGATAGTTATGTGTGGCTTTAGCTGAGTTGGCTACATAATTAAAACATCTGTTTAAATTACAATGTTTGACTTGCAGGTTATGGTTTTCAGCTAAAAACAGGTTTCTAAATACATTTAAAGCTCAGAATGAGAAATGAGTTTAAGTAGCTTCACTCAGCATTGCTCCAAAGTGCTTTTGCTCAAGAGGAGTTCAATAAATTAAGTGTCAGATTCAAATAGATATTCCTTCAATGTCTTCCCTCTGTTAGACCTCAAAACTGTAACGCCAAGCGCACTTTTAAAGAACCCCTGATTTCATTACAGACCAAAAGAAACCAAATAATAGTCTTAGCTGCTAAGTATGAAGTGACTCACATGTGTTCAGGATTCAGGAGGATCTTGTGTGGCAGTCCAGCATCGCTACGATCCTGGAACCTTTGCAGAAAGTCCAGATAAGACACAGCCCTTGTCTTGGGGTGGACAGTCAAGTTGCAGCGGGACAAGAAGGCATCCAGTTGCATCGTGTCCAGCTTGAGATCAAAACGTTCCAGAACTTCACGAAACTTGGAAAGCTCCACCTAATAATAAGACAATTCAGACATCTTGCATAAAATCCTATAATTCCCTTTCTTGGATGTGATGGTCTTAATCTTCTGTAGATTTTATGTCTTGATACTAGCTTAGAGAAAAGTCTGTCATGTTGGACAGTTAAGATCTATAAAAAGTGAATCCAACCTTCGATTTAGTGAGGAGTTCAACATGGAAACATTAGAGGTTAATTTTTAAGACAATAGTAAGTTTGGATTCTTTTTCTGATGGATTGAGCTGCAATGTTCTCACCTCTCCTTTCTTCTCAATGTCGTACTTCTCAAAGTCCTTCTTCATCTTGTAGTAACCCTGTCTGAATTTATCCTTCAGCCATCGCTCAATGTCCAGAGACTTTGACCGCTCAGCCTCCAGCCGACGAGGTCTCCTAGCTATATTTTGAAGGAAAAAAGAAGTTATTCTCGATTTCAAAATTCCTAAAAAAAATCCAGATTTAAACGTGGGATGGGGCTACTACAATTTGAAGTTAGTACTTGTTGGACACATGCAGAGTTTTCAAAAATTTCATTTTAGAAATTTAGGAATTGACATTTTATGAGTAACCATAAATACCTTTCAGGACATACCATTTTCAATGTAATTGATATAAATAAAGGGATAGAAAGAAGTTGAAGTAGTCAGACAGGAATGAAAAGGGATCTAAGAAAGTTTTCCATTGCCTAATCTCCTTCAATTTTCATTGAAATCTCTCTGTTTATTCTTCTGAAGTCCGGAGTACAAAATGATAACACATAACAACCACTGAAACATATTGGTGTGGAGATAAAAGGCATTTTTACCAGCTGATGTTGGGCACTTGTGTCAACTAGATGATGGCCCCTGAATTACCCTCTGGCAAAGTGATTAATCTTTATCCTAACATCTGGCCACTTACGTGATCCCCTTGGGCTGAGTTCGGGGCTGCCTGCTCCTGATCTGAAGCCCTCTTCAAGTGGCATGGCAGTGCCCGATCGTAGACTGATGCCCAATTTATTCACCAACCGCTCACCCTTGATGACACCTAGCCCATCGGTGTCATACCTAAATGAAGAATTGCATGAATACAATGCTTTTACTGGAACGTATTATTTTCCAAGTATAAATTGCATATTTTTAAACACTTTCAAAAATCTCTGCAACAATAAACAATTCCACTTTGTACCTATTCCACAGCTTCTCAAACTCATCGTCATCCATAAAAAAGAGCATCTTGTTGAGGGCGTTCCTGAACTCGGGTTTTAGGATGCGACCTGTACCTCCAGGGTTCATTTGAGGGATCATCTCTGCAACATCCAGGAACCTGAAGAGACATTCAGACAAAAGATGAGAAGTCAGAAGCTTCTAAAACTGTGAAAGCAATAAAATGCTGCAGATGAACCACGGGATAAACCAAGAAAATTAATTATTTTAAGAAGCAATTTCATCAAACCATCAGTTACATTCTTAAATTTGGTAAAAACGATTTTTTGTGTGTGTTTGGATGTTTCTTCAGAGGACTTCTTAAACGGAGGTCCACCTACCTTTGTCTGGCTTTCTCCTTTAGCTGTGCATGGACCTGTGTGGCCGACATTGTAATCTTGTCGGCTGGCCCTCTGTTGACGGGATCCATCCAGGCGGGCATCTCATTCCGGGTGATGGTTTCCCTCAAGCAGGCATAAAAGTCCTCCAGTTTGATGACTTTGTTCTCGCTGAGACGGAATCTAGGAGAACAGGACACAGTGCTACGATTTTCCCCTCCAATTCTGTTTGACCCTTGTTTATCAATTGTGTTCACTTTCCAATAAATACTTAGTCTTAAAATTACACAAGGAAAACTAAACTTTTTTTAGGCAAATGGCTTGCTAATTCTCAACGGAAAGGCTCATGCTATCAAATCAAACCACAACAGACAGCTCAGAAGTATCAAAGTTGTAAGATAAAAGATGGAGAATGTCAAAAGAGTGCCTTTGCCACAGTTCATTGGTATAGCTTGTGAGTTGACTGGATTCATGATTGGCCTGCAATTGCCCTCTGATTGTTAAATGGTGCAGAAGTTCCTGGAAAAAAAAATAATTTAGCCCCATACCTTGCAAGAAGGGCGTTGAACTGTTTTGTGCTGATGAAGCGGCCTGCGAAAGTGATGAGGATGCGATTTAAGGCCTCGCGACTGACGATGCCCCGACCTTCAGGGTCATTGGACACAAAGAGCTTCCGCAGCTCAAAGTAAGACTTCTTCACCTTTTCACGGAGAATCATCTCAATCTGTGAAACACAAGAGAAAAAATGATTTGGACAGATGATTAGGAGAAATGCTGTGCAATTAACCATGAATAATTCAAAGTGAACAATGACGCACTTTTAATTGGTGGCAGCAGTGGGATGAGGTCTACATGTGCATGCCAAATGCATTGATTGCTCAACATACCTCATCAACTTCAAGTCGTACTCTGGTTTCTGGTCTGGACATGCGAGAGGCCACGCTAACAGCCCGATTCTCTGCCCGACTTGTCAAGTCAGCCCGAGAGCCTGAAGACAGCAAAAATTTAAAAAAACAAAATTCAAATTAACGTTGGTTGCTTAGAAGCCCCTGTGAAAATGTCCATGCAACCAAAGAAACTATAAATTTCAAAGAACCATTGTACCATTGAAAAGAGGCAGGTTATTGCAACAGCAAAATCTGAAAGTAAAACTCTTGCCTGCCAGACATTTTGAAAAGTAATATTCTTGCATGTTGATGCTCAGGTTGAAACATATTTGCTTAGCCACCATGGTATAAGCTATAGTCAATAATCATACTGTGCAGCTCTATTGTGACATAGGAGGTTTCTGCATGCTACACATTATTATTTTAATACAACTCAATATATTTTAATGTCTTGAACATGAGAACAATGTTCTAGCATTTTATCTGATCAAATTATCCTAATACCCACTCCCTCATGTTGATCTTAAACAAGGATAAACGGATTACAGATGTATGGACATGTCACACCAATTGTCCACAATCATGGGACAGCAGCTTAACTGTAGCTGAAGTAAACCCTATTCAATTGTTGGCTGGTTAGAAAAAAATCTTGTCAATTAGTAAAGTGAACTAAAATGTTGACTCTCCGACACATGTGACACATTTGAAACTCCTCTCTGAACGATCTACGCGTGCGCTTTCAATGTTGCGAATATTCCTGGTATTGCGACTTTGGGTATGAGCCTGACTACAGGAATGTGCCATTGTTGTGTGGCATGACATGTTTGTGGCTTCTGAGCTGCATCTCCATATCCAAAACACAAACAATGATACCAACACTGAGTTACCACGTAGGGCAGCATAGCCCAGTTATGAGCAACTCAATGGTTTTGCAGAGATCCAAACTGTGAATGATGCTCAAGTCAAATTGATTCCTTCCTCTACAAATTGAATAATGTAATTCCATTTTTTTCTTAAAGATTCTAAAGTCAAGTGGGAAGTGTGAAGTAAAATGTCATCAGATTTTCATGGTCAGTTTACATCTACCATTTCATTTAAGTGTGTGATAAAAACCACCCAAATCTCCAGCTGCAATTATACACATATGACAAATTGGGTTGCCGACGTCCGAACCAAAACATGAAAACTAATACATCACCTGTCACTGACAGGTGAATTTGCACAGTGTAGTGCGTAAATTTCAAGGCGCGTGTCGACAGATAATCAATGTGGTCATTAGCACAGACAGCAGTCTCTTTGCTACGCACACAAGGTGCCGTTCCTGGAGGGCATTTGCTGGATAAGTGGAGGAGAGAGAATTGCCAAGAGACCACAGTCAGAAGCAACTGCAAAAATATTGAAACAGGCTGTTGATTTTGTGACAATAACAGCGCTGGAAATTGCCTGCGCTGCTTTATTACCATCAAGTGTCAGAATGAATGGAACTCTAGCCCTTTCACTTCTTTGAAAAGGCAGGCTGTTCGTAGGTTTGCCAGAATTAGTCACAGTTCTGCTCAGCATTTGAATATGATAATGATTGTTTACAATCAGCTTTATGCAGAACTGCAGATCAAGATAATTGATAAAGGAAGGCCAATGATGAAGACAGTTCCTCTTAAATATCATTAAGATGAATCCAAACCTGTTTTAAAAATCATGTCCTATTTTGTACATCCACTGGGCCTCCTTTTAAATAGCGTTTCCTTTTTTTAGAAGAAGTATAAAATTAATTTGTCATCCCTATCATTTATGTTGTCCACTTTGGGCAAATTTCGCCAAAAAATGACTAATATAAATTGTCTTACATGTGGTGCTTGTTCTGCATTTCTAGACCTGTCTTTGTCCTTATCATTTTTGATAACGAATGGGCTTAAAGTTCAATGAGTTCACCTGTTCAGGTTTTTTTTTAATCAAAAGGAACCACCAATGAAGCTGTCATAAAATATGTCCAATGTTCTCCTCGCACGAAGGGAAAAATCTTACATGTATGACAGAGTGAAATGTCATGTGGAAGTCATGTGAAGCAATGAAAACCATGCCAAAAAACATTCAGTAGTTTTTCCTTATGTCAAAGCCCACGGGAAATATTGAAATATGTAAAGGTAAATTGGTATGCTTCTCAGTCCCGGAACTCAAGTACGTGAGGGGAGGGTAGGTCATTGTAGAAATACTCTTAAGAGTCGTAACTTATTTTGAAAGGATTTTTAAAGAATATTTTTTATGTTTCTGTAATGCAAAGTCATGCTGCTTCATCATGTTTTCAATAACTGACCATCATTTATTTAGGTTTTATGTTGTGAAAAAAGGGGCATCACCTCGGTTGGCATTATTCTAATATGCAATATCGACAGATTTTTTTAAAGTAAAATGCAGTGAAAAAGATGGAACTGTATGTTATCCATTCAAGATATAGAAAGGTGGAATTTAGGGGTGAAAATCTTACCGAACACTGGCAATCTTGTCTTGGTCTGATCTTCGGCTTCCACCACCTCCACACCCTCGGGGATGTTGGAGAACGGCCGGGGGATCTTCGGGAGTGACCGGCGGGCGGCTTCGCCCCCGGCACCCAATCCACCGGCAGACACCGACAGACGGGGGGCTGAGAAGCTCATCTGCGGCTCACCAAGGGCCGGGTGGCTACCAGGCCGTGCCCCTTGTTGGCTGGCCAGGCCGCGGACATTCAGCTTCTCTGGGTTGCCCAGACGGGACAGCGGGTGCTGGATCTCCGGCAGGTTGGTGGGGACACCATGGCTAGATCTGGGCCCCACGTTCAGCACGGACGCCGGCCGGGAAATGACAGCTTGCGACATGCTTAGATCACGCGCCGTTCTTCATCAAAATTGGACCTAAAAATCTTCTCAATTCTTAACACTCTGAAGCGATGCACAATTTCAAAAAACATCTGCTGTCTAGACTTGAAAATGGACTTGTATGCGTTGCCAACACGCTCAGTGGCTATCCAGCTTTTCATGGGCATGCCAGGCGGTTTGTCTGTGGATTGTGTACACCGAGTGATCACCACGACGGTGGTTGTTACGGGCAACGGGACCCTATTGATATTTAAATTAGCTATGGGTGCAGCGCTTTGACTCAGAGGGGGGTGAACGCCACATAAAACAAAAGTTATGTTTCCACGAGTAAATTTGGAGAAGTGGCTCCGCGGAATTTTTTTTTACAAACGAATAACAATTCATCGCGTAAGTCATTACTTGTGTTGGTATTTGACGATTTTTGGATACAGTTATGTATTGACGTAAATAGGCCTAGAGCTTTTGATGAAAAACACTGCTGTGTATCAAACATAATGCACACATTTCTTTGATGTACAGTACACGTACATGTACAGTATGTTACCCCTGATTCATGGAAAATGCTTGGAAGTTGAGGAATAAGGAACAATACTTTTTTTCGAGGAAGCGGTTTTCCCGCTCGGCAACATACCTGATCTAATTACATTACTCCGCGCGCAGTTCTAAGGTGACCCTAAAAGAGTACTGTAATCAACGCAACCAAGCGGAGAACTAGCCTGTGTTTGTAACATAGCGGTGATTTGATATAGTCATGTACACAAACAAATGTCTAGCCGCAGCTACTGTTGCGAAAAGGGTAATAAAAAAAACGTAATTGTCTGGAACAGCCGCTACAAAGAGTATATCTTCAATGTCATTTGAATTTTACGATATGTGTAGCGGTGGAAAAATGGACATATGTGCTTTCGGGGATGAATGGCACGCGTAGTTTGTACCCTTCGTGAACGTATAATGCGTAGGAGCATGGAGCTATTAAACAGATTAATTTTGCCTCTGTGGATGGGGAAGAACTCCAGTGACCTGAGAAATTATTCAACATCAAAAGTTGTCACCGGTATCAATGGAAGCCATAACAGTGGCAGAAATAATGGTAACAGCAGCGGAAGCAAAAAGAAACTAACATAGCAGCAACAAGTTAACATTCCAAACTCAACAACGCCATCACAAACACAGAATTAAAATCAGTTCATTTAAAGGCAAGGCTTCATTTAATCTACTGATGCTTAAGAAGCACACAGTAGACCTCAAGATAAAATGAAATTCAACGGTCTAACTGTGACAGATTATTCCGATTGAAGTGCTGAAACAATGCTACAAATCTTCCAAAATTACAGCTTTCACACCCCTTCAAAAATGAAAACACAAAAAGGCCAACCTTACATCAAACAGATAAATAAAAACTAACAAAACAGATGCAAAACATGTCCTTCTTGGTCAGGTCTCTCTTATCACTGATTAAAAATCAGCAACCCATGTCAAAGCACCATAAAGTAAAAGAAGACTGCAACAAATAATACATGGAGTAGGTTCATATACACATCTCTCAAGAGTTCACTTTTTTTAAAATACATTCCGGTTTTATCAATTTGGTATTTGACACCAGACTTAAATATCCTCTAATCACAAATAGCCTGCCTACATTAACTTGACATGCAGTTTCTGATACTTCACACATAATGCCAATCTAGACTCACGGTTTGCATGTGCCTTAATTACAAATTAAATTATTCAATAAAATTAAAGTCTCTGATTTCTGTATGACGTTTTTTTTTTACATTTGTACACAGCCTTTGAAAAGCAGAGATTACATTGATGCTGTACATATTTACATGCAAAATATTAAGTAAAATGTGAAAATAAACATACACCCTGGGTTATATGGGGAATATGAGATGCCAATATAAACAAAGAGGTCTAACGTTCCGACAGAAACTGGGCTTTAACACTAAATATTTGGACTTTGATTACAAAGAAATGTTAGCCGTATTTTGCCACTACAGACAGTGTGGTTAGATCCTTTTCAAAGTCCTCCAAATGTACTGATGTATAGGGTACTTAAGTTAGGATAACATCCCTAAAACCAGACAGTTTGCTTTTTATGATGGGCAAAATTGTGTGCATCTGAATAAAAAACAACCAAGTTGGAAATATCAACACAGTTGCGAAAATACATTGAATGTCTGTGTCAAACCAATAGGCCAAAAGTCTCACTCATTCAAAACAATCGGTGGACAGAGCCAGCAAGCTTCCTACCATAACATCCCACACTTCAATACATTTGGAGGCTTGAAAAAGGGCTTGACTACAACATTGCCTACATCAATACTTAATCAGTAAAGCACCTGCCCATTGGTAGTCAGACTTTGTGCATGACACTTTTCTAAAACTAATACTTGTTGACATGAAAAAGTATAAGATAATAAAACTGCTCTGTCAATAAGTTCCAGGGCACTACTGGTCTGGAACTTTTTTGGAGTTTAGAGGAGATAAAGAGTCGCTTGTTACACTTCCAAGAACTTTAGGGCTAGACTGTATTAGACCCCATAGATATTTTGCTCCCGTTCATTTGTACAACATTGAGATCGAGAACCAACTTAGTTTCAAGTTCTGCCTTCAGGTTCCGTCATGCAGTTGTACAAGGCGGAAAGGGAATTTTAGATCCTCAACACAAAATGCTGTCTGGCCCATCCACAAAACTGCTTTTATATCAACTGTTTCAAAAACTTCTGCTGTAATGTGAGGGATTACTATCACAACCTCTGCCCATACTTTTGCAATTTTTTTCTGTAATCTAACTAATTCAGATAACTTTCCTATTTACGGTCAACCAATGCTACAACATTTTCAAGGTTTCTGCATTTCAGATCCTCGAAAATTTCTCACATTTTAGTCACTACCCCCCCCCCAAAATATGCTAGAACTATGCTTGGGTTGTTTCAATCTTGATATCGGCAATTTTAACGCAAATCTCTGCTCACCTGTAACTTTTCTCAACCTACTTCAAAAACTGCTCTCTCGGAGAACAAACAGAATCTTAAAAATCAACCAAAAGGTAAAAATGTATTTCATGCTATGCAGTTGAAGGCAATAGTGGCAGATGAATTCTAGGAAAAAGCAATCTCCAACATTACTGCTGAAACACGTACTTGAAGTAAAAGCAAAATGTACGTTGTTTGCAAGCACCAGCTGTTGCGAATCAAGAAAACAAAGACAGAACAGAACAAATGGCCAAAAATGGCACAGAAATGGCACAACAACACGTCCAGCAAATTGGTTTCCGACCATGCATAAAGCTCTCTTAGCATGTCTTGCAATTAAAGGGAACTTAACGATAGCACATGATGGAATTCCTATAAAGACAGTCTTCTTGCCTTGATGGAATCATATCTGACATATCTACAACAATACTCTCGGTGCAATTGACTCAGACAGGAATATAACTTTAAATAACTTCTTGCACAAGTGTATATATTTGAGACAGGTAAATTTTTTCACACACTACGTTTCACGGTGCTGCATTTCACTTTTATGCCACAAAAGACGACTCACAAATTTGCTTCTCATCCAGTGACTATATTACAGAGAAATTGAACAAATAGGAATGTAGAAGGCAGTACATTGTTTTAAAGGGTTCCTTCAAAGCCACCATACTTGAGTACCCCAAAAACCCAATGTGAATGTGAAGAGTGTCACCTTTTTCATGTGTCTGAAATCAGTAAATAGGCTAATCATAACCTTTTCAAGTGAACCTTGCACCGGAAATACAACCTTTGATGTCTTAACACCTGCTAAACTCTTCAAATAATTCATAAAGGGCGCAGGATTTGTTCTTGGGGAGGTTTTTTTTAAATACATGTAGAATTTATGGCTACAAAGAACAGATCTGAATTTACATCAATGTGAACACACAGAACACTACAAAGCACTACAACCTTCAACATGTGCACTATGATACCGAATAGCGTTGTAGGAGCTCTGTGTGGCACCGGTCGCAGCAGCGTACCGGCTTGGCAAAGGCTGGCAGGGGCATCACGTTCTCGGAGCAGGAGTTGCAGAAGATTCCTCCACAGTTACGACAGTGATGCTGTTGGGGGGGTGGGGAGGAGGGGAT